CAATGGCAATAATTTATTTCAGCTTCCAACCTGCACTGAGACTTAGAGTACAGATTTAGCTCTTGGGCTTTTTCTGATCACATTTTGCAAGATTTTGCAACTCACAGTAGTTGAGGTACATGCACAACTTTGTTATTTATTTGTATGGGCTTCCCCTTTATCTTGCAGTTTTAGGGATATTGACTTACTTTTGAATGGCATTTCTTGTAACATTTGGTTATTAAATGAACAGATTGGGCTGCCCTACTTAGAAACAACCAGTAAAATCTAAGCAGTGTTTTTCATCCATTTCCCAGGAGGTGACCTTGGACTTGGTGGAGCTGACATTTAAAGATCAGTATATTGGGCGTGGGGATATGTGGAGGCTGAAGAAGAGTTTGGTAAGGCCCCTGCTGCCCTTGGGCAGGGTGCAGCTGATGAACCTTTTCTTTTGCTTGCTGTGCATGAAAAGAAGTGCTTTGCAAAATGCAGAGAGCCAAAGACAGTGCCTGCAGCTCCTGAGGATTTTGTGCTTTGAGTGGCACATCAGAGTTGGAGAAATGGGTGTAAATGCTGCAGAAAAACAAATCCCATCATTTCCTACTCCACTGGTATAAGTTTAATTACTGCCTTGGGCGTTGAAAATGAGTATAGAGAGGTTTTTTTGCTTATGTTCTGAATTTTAATGATTGCTACATTTGGAAGGAAATGAGTCCAAATGTTTTTCAGGCAGAAGTATGCTGAAGAGTCCCCTCTCTGAGAGTGCCACTTAATAAGCAGCTATTAGAGTATCTGCTGCCTGCATCTCTGAAGTGCAGTCTGTAGCTCCTCTAAGTGCAGGGAATTAGGCAGATGGTCCCAGTCAGAGCTGATCTGTGTTAAAAGTGGTTTTCTGTGTCTATTACAGAGGTTCTGTAGGCTGAGCTATTAGTAGTAACTACACTGAATGGACTTTGTGACTTCTGTCATAAAAATCATGTTTGAGTGCCAGTGGGTTTTATGTACATTGTTCTTCTCACTCTGAGCCTGCTCTTCTTCTAACACCTGCAACTCTTCTTTCCTAGGTCAGCACATGTGCATATGTCACCCAAAAAGTTGAATTTGCAGGTATCAGGTCAGTGCCTCCTCTGAGGGCTTACTGTTGTTTATTGCTTTAACTTCATGAGTTTTAAGTATCCAGCTGGAGGCTCTTATCTGAAAAATCCCTCATGTTCCATTGTTCTCTTACTCATCCATAAATTTCTGTTTGCACCATGGGGTATGGGAAGGCTTCTGTCTGGTTTGGGGTAAAAGAAACTAATAGTAGGGCAACCAACTACACTTGTGGCCTCTGATGGAGGCCAAATAGTTTTATTTTTATCTCTTTGAATATTTGCCCCCCTTCCCAAGCTGTATTCATAGTTCAGAGGGAATTACTTCAGTTGCTTTTGGGGTGACACAGGGACAAGAAAATGTGCAGATGCAAAGGGAAATGGCTGTCTGACATAGTTTGGGTTAAATATCGGATTTTAACCAAATAAGTCGTCCTTGAGTGCAGATTTTGGTACATCTCTTACTTGCTCAATTACTGATTCTCTAATCTTCATATTCAAATATTCTGCACTTCTTTTCTTCCAGAGCCCAGGCAGGTGAACTGTGGGTAAAGAGTGAGAAAGTCACTTGTGGATACATCAGTGAGGACACCCGGGTAAGAGCTCAGGAAACAGGGGAAAGCAGTTTTCCCTTCCTTTCCTTGCCTGCCAGGATTTTGTAATTCTGCCTTGCCTGCAGATTTGTATGGATCATTGCAATTGGCTGTGTTGTGAGGTGAAGAATGGCAGTAAGTTCAGGACAACAAATCATTATTGAACTTCAGCTCTGCTAGGAATGGCTTGTTAGAGGGGAAAGGCAGCTTGTCAGAGGGGAATTTGCCTGTTTTGGAAGGGCCACAGTTGTATGAGTTGCTGTGCAGTTAACCTCTTCATTTGGGCCTTCTAATGAATGTGCTTGGTTTTAAAGGAGGTCTTGCCTTCCTTTGCAGGTGGTCTTCCGCTCCACTTCTGCCATGGTTTATATTTTCATCCAGATGAGCTGTGAAATGTGGGATTTTGATATTTATGGTATGTAGGTAGCTGTGGCTGTGGATGGTCACAGCTGTCCTTTCTGCTCCTGCTATTTTTTTCTGCCACTTCCAGCAAAGTAAAATATCCTGCCTTTGGCCTGAGCAGTGCTCCAGGGTGTGTTGTGGTATTTCCTTAGGTTCTTCCTTGCAGTGCCACCCATTTCTGTCCCTGTCTGTGCCATCCTTGTCCTGTCCCTGTGAGCCTGGGTACCCTCATCTATCTCAGCCACAAAATCACTGTGAGCACTGGAAAGGTTTTCTATGGATATCAACATGTTGGGTGATGGGGGCAGGTGCAAGTTTGTGATTCCTGAAGCCAGAAATGTGTCCAAGTCCTGTGCAGAGAGGACCTTGATGTTTTAGATTTCTCTGACTTTGGCTTCTTGAGGGAGTGAAACCTGCCTTAGCCCAGGCTGAGGTTGGTGACTTCAGCTGGAAGAATTACAACTTCAGGCATTAAGAATGAGTCACTTCTCTGTTGTCATCCTATTTTTTTTCTGGCATAATTCTTTAGCAAACCTCTTGCCACTTCCTTTGACCATGTGTTTTAGGCATATGGACCTGGGCAAACATTCAATTCAGAGCAGGGGATCAGTTGTGCATTGTCTGCCTAAAACACAGTACAGATGCTTTCCCAGCATGCTGCAAACATGTTGGAAAAATGAGTTAAAGGTCTGATCCTTCTGGCATTGTCTCATGTTTACATCCTCTGAAAAAAATTACGCTTTTAAATCTTTTTATCATAAAACAGTCATGCTTTTAAATCTTTTTACCATCTTATCTTAGTGATATTGTCCTTTATTATGCACACAGCTGCTTGAGATTTAATAATTATAATTGTCCTAGAATCTTAGGGTTAGATATGCCCCATATCTAACTTCTATAGGTGAGGTAACTATTGTTATCTGATGTTTAGGAAATTTTTATTTTGCAGGGGATCTATACTTTGAGAAAGCTGTGAATGGTTTCCTTGCTGACCTCTTCACAAAATGGAAGGTGAGTAGTTGATTGAGTTCAGTTTTAATTTTTTATTTTTCTGTAATTGTTGGGGACATCTCTCTGAACAGTAACACATCAGAATATCAAATTGCTGTGGGTGTAAATAAACTGTGTCAACTGTCTGTTTTCTTAACAAAAATCTTGGCAACTACAGAGAGGAGCTTCTTTAGAGAGTAGTGGAGAGTGCTCCTGGTAAATTGATATGGCCAAGCAGCACAGAATCTGCAGGACAGACCATTTGTTATTTCAGAGAGGCAGATGGAGCACTGATGCAGATCCATTAATGCAGTAATCTAGGTTTTGTTAGTTACCTTTGTTTCTAGGTATGAGGGAAGAAGGGCTGTTCCTATATGTGTATATACACAACTTTCTACCAAATGTGACTTTTAATGGTTTTTTTTCTGTGTTTGTTCTTCCTGGACAGGAGAAGAATTGCAGCCATGAAGTGACAGTGGTTCTATTTTCGAGAACATTTTATGAAGCAAAATCTATAGGTATGCAAATTCTCTGTTTTCATGTTTCCATTTTTAAACCTATCTCGTTTCTTGAAAGTTGGTCACAGGCTGACAGGAACTTGTCTTTTTTAAAATTGCCATTTTCAAAGTATTCTCTATCAAGCACAGTAGGTACACAGCCATTGTAATGAAAGTACTGCAGTCAGAACCTTACATAGAAGAGTGTTGCAAATTTTCCTCATACTCAAGCTGTCATATTTGTTTAAAAGCAGTTTTTTATTAGATAGGAGGTCTGATGTTTCTCCAGGTATTTTGGTTTTTAGTTTGCTTGCTGGAGGCCTTTTCTTGTTTTCTGTTTGTTTTTTAAAATGGAAATAACAGCTTTTGGCTGGAAAAGATTAGTCATTTCTGTAGAAGAGCATGAGATGAGATGTGCTTTTCCTTCCATTTCAGATGAGTTTCCTGAAACACATCGTGCATCAATTCGGCAGGATCACGAGGGAAGATTCTATGAAGATTTTTACAAGTATGTTTTCCTCCCACTTCTTTTCACCTCTTGTCCCTCAGTGTATGTGCCACCCAACGCACCCTTTTGTGCATTTCTTTATAGTTTGTTCCTCCCCTCTCACTTCCCCTCATAGCTTCTTTCCTGGGCCTCACCAGGCTGTGTTTTTTCTAGAGTTGTAGTGCAGAACGAGAGGCGGGAGGAGTGGACCTCCTTGCTTGTGACCATTAAAAAGCTTTTCATCCAGTATCCTGTGTTGGTACGACTCGAGCAAGCAGGTACCAGAATCTTCCTTTCCCTGCTTTTATCCTTTGCTCTTTCCTCTTTTTTTTTTTTTTAATTTTTAGCTTGTCAGTAAACTATCCATTTTTAGTTGGATTCTGGTGTCATGCTACTTAGTGCTCTCCTGGCTGGGCAATTTGCCTCAGTCTTTCTGTGGAACTTAATAACATCAATTTTGCCATTTGCATTTTGCCTTTTGCATATTTGAACCAATAGTATTTAGTACAGATGTATTTTTCTGTGGGTTTTTTATTATATAAAGCTAGTATACAGGAATGATGATTTTTTTTTTTCCTTTTTGAATACTTTTCCAGAGGGCTTTCCATCAGGTTACAATTCTACCTCAGCACAAGGGAACTACCTGGAGGCTATAAATCTTTCATTCAATGGTAAGTTACAAGCAATGGGTAGAAATACAACCATTGAAGCAGCTACCATTAAATGGCTGTGGACTTAATGTTTCTTTTTCCTTAACACTGTGAAGAGGAGGGGAATATTAGGGGATTGCCTGCCTTTCTCTGAAAAGAAACATCCAGGGTGTTCTGACAGTATTCCTGCTTTCTTGTCACTGTCACATTTTCTGAAAAATTCTCTTTTCCCAGGATTTCCTCCTGGGAAGCTGGGGAGCTGCTTTGGAATGTGGTTTGGAGATGGTTTATCCAACATGTGAATTGTTTTTACTTAATGGCCAATCATGGCCGGTGTGTCAAGGCTCTGAGGAGTCTGTCATGAGTTTATTTTTCATTCTTGTTAAGCCTTTTGTCTGTGTCCTTCTCTTTCTTTAGTATAGTTTTAGTAAAGTATTCTTAGAACACCACACCACATACAACACAACACATAACACACTGTGATGGTGTTTGTAGGGGTCCGAGGATGAGGGAAGAGATGTGGATTTGACTCCATGTTTCAGAAGGCTTGATTTATTATTTTATGATATATGTTATATTAAAACTATACTAAAAGAATAGAAGAAAGGGTTTCATCAGAAGGCTAGCTAAGAATAGAAAAAGAAGGAATGGTAACAAAGGTTTGTGTCTCGGACACTCTGTCTGAGCCAGCTGACTGTGATTGGCCATTAATTAATAACAACCACATGAGACCAATCACAGATGCACCTGTTGCATTCCACAGCAGCAGATAATCAATGTTTACATTTTGTTCCTGAGGCCTCTCAGCTTCTCAGGAGAAAAAATCCTAAGGAAAGGATTTTTCATAAAAGATGTCTGTGACAACACACCTTGTATAACTTATGTATGTTATATATTAGTTTTATTAGTTTTATAACTTATGTATTTAATATATTAATTACATAATATATAATATAATAATAAATCAGCCTTCTGGGAACATGGAGTCAGATTGCTCATCTCTGGGGACCCTGCCAAAGTCAGCATTTCTCTCTGGCAGTGTTTGACAAGCATTACATCAACCGCAACTTCGACCGCACGGGGCAGATGTCGGTGGTGATCACGCCCGGCGTGGGCGTGTTCGAGGTGGATCGGCTCCTCATGATCCTCACCAAGCAGCGCATGATCGACAATGGTAAAGAGCTGTGCCTCTGCCTCTCTCCCCCAAACACTGATCTGGGGAAATTCCAGCTGCTTCTGGCTGTGAAAAAGTACCTACTGTCAGCTGTGTGTTGTGTCCTTAGCTGCAAGACTTGTGTCTGCGCTTGGTATTGAAACGAGCAGATTTTCAGAGTGCTTCCAGGCATTTAGTTTCTTTTGTTTGTGACAGAGAACTTCACCTCTCTGTGCAAACCTTTCTCTTAAAGGATAAGCCTTTAAACCTTTCTCTTAAACTCTTGCATGAGTTGCATTAGTTTAAGAAAATAATTTCTTCTATCCTTTCAGGTACTGTAGGTTTGTAGCCATACCATGGGACCATTAACTACCATTTTTCAGTATTATTGCCTCTTATAATATGGTGTGAATATATTTTGGGTCTTCAGTTCAAATTGGTGATCTATTTTGTCTTAGCATATCAGTGCTGCTTGGATAGCTGAACTCTGCTGTTGTCTGTTTGCAGGGATAGGTGTGGATTTGGTGTGCATGGGAGAGCAGCCCTTGCATGCTGTCCCACTCTTTAAGGTAGGGCTGCTTTCCCTTCCCTTGTTCCTGCTACAATTGTCTCTCATTTTGTGACTGGCTGGGTACAGGTAGTTCCTTCTGAATTACTCTTGCAGCTCCACAATCGCTGTGGCCCTGGTGACTCACGAATGGGTGATGACTACAATATCCCACACTGGATAAATCATAGGTAGGTGAATTCTATCATCACCTTTTGCTAAGCACTTCTGCTTTGCTTTACTCTTCATAATCTCTTGAATTCTCTTTCTTCTTTTATGTCCTCTTCTTTCCTTGTGAAGCAAAGAAATATTCCATTATTCTTGCAGAACTCTGGGCATTAATGCAACCTGACAGAAATGACAGGGTTTTCAAACAGCTGGTGTGAATCACCACAGTTGTGTAAATCAGGAAGAGTTGTGTAAATGGCACAGTAGAAATGGATGTCTTTCTGTGTAAAATGAACCCAGTTCAATGCAGGTGTTAAGCAAATATCAAAGCCCTGTCTTTAGGCAGAGTAGCTTCTCTCAACATCCCTCAGTGTTTTCCATTCTCTTTTATGCACAGAAAGGAATCCCTTTTTCTCTGTCCAATAGCTGACTCAGGTTCCTGGTCTGCTTACTGTGTAGCAAACCAGCTGTGTTAAAGCCACACTTTTTTCTTTCAGTTTCTACACATCCAAAAGCCAGCTCCTGTGTAACAGCTTCACTCCACGGATCAAGCTGGCAGGAAGGAAGGTGGGAATTTTCTGATTTATATTTTCTTGCTAGCTTGTCTGATAGCTCTTCTCAGTCAAGCATCACAAGTATTCCAACAGCTGGAACTAAGTTTCTGTGTTAAAAGGCTGTGAGAGCAAAGCTGTAAGGTTGTGGGGTTTGTAAATGAGAGGCAGTTTGTAGGTCTTTCCTTCCTAGATAAAACTGGGTGAGAAATGTTTTAGCCACCCTAAAAATTAGTTTCATTCTGTAACAAAGAACTGTATGGAGAGGAAGAAAGGTGTTGAACATTGTGTTTTTCACACAGGTTTGTGAAAAGTATCAGTATTTAATGTTTCTGAAGCTGTCTGGCTGCCTCATTGAGTCAGCAAGCTAAACTTTGTCTGTTTGGTCACACTGGGGATGTTTCCTTAGAACATGCTGACTGATTTCCTTCCCTCTGTTTTTTTCTGTTGCTCCTTTTAATTTTTTTTTTCTTGTTTTTTGATCACTTCACACTTCCTTTGTTGGACCCTCCAGCCACTGACAGAGAAAGCAAAAAATAACCGTGATGCCTGTAAGTAATTCTGTCCTGGGATGATCTGTCCCACTGACTCCCAAAAGTAACAAAGAGCTGCAGGAAGACAATGACACTTCAGCCCAAGGGAGGCACAATTGTTACAGAAAACCATCAAACTCTTACTTGAGTATTTCCCATATTTGTAACTTGGGATGCTAATGTGCATGTGCCAGTTGACTTCTTGGCAATTCTTCATTTACAGTTTAGGGTGTATGAGGGAAAAGCATTATGGCCTCAGCCAGCCAGAGGCACCACCTCTGATAATTGAGCTGCTCCAGCTGCTCTGCTCCCGACACTTTGGGATTTCTTTTGGAATAGATGCTTTCCTTAGGGGTGGGAGGTGGTTACTCTGCCTTGCACATCTTGAACATTGTTGAAAGAGGTTCCAGTGCTGTGTGATTTTTATTTCAGCGTTAGGAGCTCCCAAGGATGCTGAGAATGCCTTGCCCATCCAGGTGGATTATGATGGCTATGATGCCCAGGTGTTCAGGCTGCCAGGCCCAGCCAGAGCCCAGCGCTGCACCACTTTCAGGTGAGAGGCCTGGGAGTGCCCAGCTTCTGGAGTAGCCATGTTATGTGTGCTTGATACATAAAACACTTGGAGAAATACAAAGAGAATTGATCTCCACATGCTCACAGTTGAACAAAAAGCTTAATCTCTGTCTGATCTTCATGGCTGGCTGTCTGGTGTTTTACTCCTAAAATAGTGTGGAGTCTAGGAAAAAGCATAAATATATATTTTTTTCTTTAAATCTTGAATTTTGTTTGAATAAAGCTGGTCTTTCTAGCAGATTTTGCAAGGGGGTTAAGAAAGTATTTGCACATTAGACTTGCATAGAGTTGTAGAAGTAGATTGTTCAATGCACTGCTTAGTAACTGGTAAACAGAGTGGTGAGTGGTGAGGAATCCTCCCTGAAAATGATGCCTGGCTGAATGAGAAGAAGCAGAAAAGCTGAGTGCAGGTTCTCAAATATTCCATGTCCTTTTGTCTGAGGAGAAAGGCTGATTATTCTCAGGTCCTGGCCAAATTCATTGAGTAAACAATAAATTTCAGTGCTTTTTCAGAAATATAGGGTTGACAAGCTTGTTTTGAAGTATTTTTTTACTTTGCTTCTTTCAGTAGTAATGCCTAACTCAGAGCATGTGGACTCTTTTGTTAGTATGTTCATTTGAGCAGCTTGTAGGAACCCATGCTCATAGTAAATCTGGGCAGCCCAACAAGGGAGAAAATGACAAGGAGGACTCCATTGATATTAGAGGGATAATTAATTACTTTATTGTACTGTATTACCCTACATCTAAACTGAATCTGCACAAGCACCCCACTCAACTGCACAGAATCTCGTGACTGTCAGCCAGCAGTCCTGACACACACAGATTCAATTGTCAGTGAATCAAAACACTCACACCAGAATCCAATTACCAATTACCAATTCCCTTCAGGTAAACAGTCTTCCACAATGAATTCCACTTGTGAACAACAAGAGGAGCAGCAATTGGAATAAGAATTGTTTTTTCATTCTCTGAGGTTCAGAAAATGTGAATCTCAGAAAATATTCTTGGGAAGTTGTGCCTTGCTTTTCTCTGTGAAGAGAAATGTGGCCATACATGCTGAAAGATAGCAGCACAATTTCAACAGTTCATAATTCCGAGTAGTTTCCCTGTAGCTACATGGTTCTGTAGGCTGAGGTCTCTAGGCTAGGCCCCATCTCTGCCAGGCTGGTGTGGTGTGTGTAGGATTGCAGAGGGAGCTGAGCAGGTCCTTTCACAGCCCTTGTACTGGAAGTGTTGCTGTGTTCTTGTTGTGTTGTGTGATGTGCAGAAGTATAAATTACCCAAGCAGTCAAAAAACATAGTGATGGCTTCTCTGTAATGCTCCTCTTGAGTTCACCTGCTGAGCACTGAGTCTTTGGGCCTGTCCCAGCCCCCTGCTGACCTGGGGATTGTTCTGTTTGCTGTGGCCCCTGAGCAGGTCGGTGCGGGAGCGGGAGAGCCGCACCAGGAAGAGCTCCAGCTCGTACGACGTGTCGAGCAGCCCGTCCCTGCCGGGCCGCGCGCTGCCCCCCGAGGAGGTCAGGAGCCAGGCCTCTGACGACAGCTCCCTGGGCAAGATCTCCAACATCCTCATGATCCCACGGCCCCACCTGCACCAGTGTGAAGTCAGCAGCTCCCTGGGCTACACCAGCACCAGAGGTCAGCCTGGGGCAGGTGGGAAGGTGCCTTTGGTGGGGAGTGCGGTGTGTTTGCAGGGGTCCCAGGATGAGGGAAGAGATGAGGATCTGACTCCATGTTTCAGAAGGCTTGATTTAGTATTTTATTATATATATTATATTAAAACTATACTAAAAGAATAGAAGAAAGGATTTCATCAGAAGGCTAGCTAAGAATAGAAAAAAGAATGAAAACAAAAGCTTGTGACTGACTGAGACAGTCTGGACAGCTGGACAGTGATTGGCCATTAATTAGAAACAACCACCTGAGACCAATCACAGATGCACCTGTTGCATTCCACAGCAGTAGATAGCCATTGTTTACATTTTGTTCCTGAGGCCTCTAAGCTTCTCAGGAGAAAAAGTCCTAAGGAAAGGATTTTTCAGAAAATATCATGGCTACAGGAGAGAGAAGGGGGAAGTTTGTGTTGGCCACTGCCAGGCTGGCACGATGGAGATGGTGCTTGAATTGGCACTCATGGTACAGCTCTTCCATAGCTGCAGCTGGGTGTGCATTCTCCCTTTGTCATCCTTGTCCAATTCCATTGCTTTTTTTTAATAGCTTGTCCTAAATAGAAGTGTCCTGACACTGATGTGCTTTTTTCCCTTGCCTATTGCCTTCTTTAGTACTTGACTATTCTCCTGTGCCTGCCTGCAAGTGTGGACATCCACAAGGAACTTGTATTATCCAGGTCACCTATAATCTATTGAATGAGAACTGGCCTTAGCAGTGAGCCCTGGGGGCCCCTGCTTATAACATTTCTCTGTGGGGATTTGTTGTTATTAAGACTCACTTTCTGGATTCTTCCTTTTGACAATGTACTGCTGAGCTGTCTCAGTGTGTTAGCAGTGCTGGTACTCCTCTTTTCTTCCTTTCCAATTTAATTTTGTTCTCAGACAGTATGCAGTATCTTCCACAAACCAGCTCATTTCTAGGTAAATATTATTCCTCCTGCAACTGTTTCATCTTCTATAAAATTCTCTCCCTGAAGGCTCTTCATGGTTTTTTCATGCCATGCTGTATGACACTGATACCATATTTATCCTGTCACAGGAATCACAGTTGCTGGTGTGGAGCTGTTCTCACACAGTGTACTTGACATCACATCTACCATTCATGTTTTCCCCTGCTGTCAGTTAATACAACTCTTTTCTTTCTTTGGTATTTCTGTTACTCCTTGAGTTTGAAGCACAGTTGTGTGGCCCAGCTGAAGGCGTTCAGCTGGATGAGGATGTGTGTGGATTACAACTGCCAGGGAGGGAAGAGTCAGAGAAGCTGAGGTTTTTCACATATTGTATTTGACAATATAGAATGGTAAATGAGACCCTTCTCTTTGGGTCTCTTCCACTTGTTGGGCAGAATAATCAGAGTAATTGCTACTTATCTATCTGGTATATTTTTCTCTCCTATTTCTAAATAACTGTGCTTCTGTTCCACACTGAATAGTGACAGCTAACTGGTATCTTGTGGACATCATGTCCCACATCTTCTGGGAGTAATCCCTGATTTCAGTGCTCAGACCTGAGTGTTACAGAAAAGGCTTGTGTACAAGGCTCAGCTGTGGCTTTGGTACTCATCCTCAAGTTTTTATGTCAGTCTTTTGATTTCTCAAGATTTCTCGAAGGTCCGAATAGCCTTTCATAATTGGCTTAGCAAGTGGTTTCTTAATGGATTCATTTAGTAGAAGTTTACAGTTTACAACAGTGCTGTAATGGCAGATGGAGTAATGATTTTTCTTGTCTGGGTTCTTGTTTCCATTGTGACTTTCAGGCAGGATAGGAATTGCTTTGAGTTTCTCCTCCTGCTTATTTCTTAGGTCTCCTTATTTCCCCTTACCCTGGGCCGTCTTTATATCCCCGAGCAGTTAATTCTCTTGTGCTTGGCTCCTGCAGGATCTCACGCTGATTGGTGTGGCTCGGTTGTGTTTTGCAGATTTCCTTGAGAACATGTTGGAGTCGCAGCAGCGCGACTCCAGCGCGCCGGGGCGGTTCCACGTGGGCAGCGCCGAATCGCTGCTGCACATCC